GAAGCGGTTGGCAACCAATTTCCTTGATGAGTTGGTTGTGGGGTGACAGATCCAGGGTAGTTTTGCACATACACTTCATCTTCTGGCTGTTATATAGGATCATAAGGGAATGTATCTTCGTAAAATTAAACATCCCTAGATCGCAAAGTTTTACCTGTTTTCATGTTAAGAATTGATTATTCATCGTGGCTAGAGACTTCGCGGTTTGATAAGAATACTCCTTCAAGTGCTGTCCTTTAACTATTTTTAAACCTCGAGTCTAAAAAAGGACTTGGCAACCTAGTGGACAGAGACTTAATTCCAGCTGATTTTAAACCAAATATTTCATTAGACGAACGGCGTTCTTTTTTCTTGGGTATATTGTTAGTAACTCCGTCACGTAATGCCTCACGTCAGTGATTAAGAGATAGTTTGATTGTTTTAATATACAGCAAGCCGTATTGGGTATAGTTTATATAACCCTCTCGCATAAAATATACTATGGTTTATCTTTTGGTATTATGGATAGTCGGAGACCCTCTTGTCGAAGATCCAGGCTTAGACTGTTGCTAACGAATTTGTTTACTTCATCGATGCCCAATTCCTCGATGAGGACAGTAGATATGGCTTTGGTAAGTTTAATGTTGTTAATCAGTTTATTATGTTTTTAATCCAGCAAGTTACAAAGTGTTTAATTTCTTCATTATTTTTTGGCAAATAGTATTGTAGTGGGTTTAGACCTGGCCAGTGGCCGCTACAAACGTCGTATGAGGTTACGTCCCATTGTATAGTGTCAACGCATACTAGCTATCCTGGCAAGCTCTAGTTGTGAAATTTGCTCTTTTTGCTCACTTTTTTTTTCATTTTTTCATTTTTCACTTCAAGCAAAGCTCGCATCTTTCATTTTTAAAAAGTGATATGCCAGGAAGAGTTTTTTTAAACTTTGACAGCTAAGGTATCCATATTTGAAATGTTCGATGGGAACTGAGTTGGTATGATCGGTGAATAATACCGTGGAGTAGTTGTTACAACTTGGGTAAACATGAATAACATAGGCCAACTTCTTTTATCACCTTGCGCTATAATATTACTATTTTTAATTATTGTTACTTCGTTATCTTTAAACGCACATCAAAACCTTTTTCAATTAGTTTCCTAACCGAAATTTAAGTTATTTCGAAAATCCGGAGGAAAGATTGCTTTTCCACGATCAAATAATTTTATCGGTCCAGAGATGCTTCAAATTGGTTACTCAGGGTATTAACCACATTTTTGTCGTATTTTATATTATAAAAAGGTCGTGGTCTTTGATAAAATGGGGATAAGCGCCGGTGTCAACAATCAGTTCATCACTTAGTTTTCGGGGACCTTTAGTTCTTAGTTGAGGTATGCCTTCATTTGTATGGTGTTAAGTGCAAGTTCTTCCCTGCCATCCTTTACGTTCCGTTGTCGGTAAGTTGCTGTAATAGTTCTATGCGTAGAGTTTTTGGGTGTAATTTGTTTTATTTGACTAGTTAAGGGGTTAAGGTTTAAGAGAGTTTTCTACCTTTAGTCTAGTTTCAGCTTGTAATAGGACGCTTAGAACGTAAAGATTGTTGCTATAAAATATTGTTCCGACGAAATGGTATCACATTTATATTCAGACCCCACTTTATGTATAAGAGCAATAATTTTATGAAGAATAATTAGCTCCTTAATATTCGGAGCAAGGTTGTCAATAACACAAATGTTCCTCGACTTGTTTCGATTAAAATTATAACTTTTTGGCAGATTGTTGAAATGTTTCAATTGGGTCTCCCGAAGCAAAGCTGAGTTCATGAATTTTGTGCATAAAGGTAATTAAGGAGGGGCTCCCAAATGCGTCTTTAACATTTTGAATTGCAAGTTCAGGTTCTGCGGTTTTGAGTTCCTTAATTTTATTTTTAATATTTGGGAGAAGGCTGCAGTTAAATATTTGAATCTCAAGAGCCACTTTACTTAGTTCCTCCTATATAGGGTTCTCAGGCTCACCAATTTTTTCTTTTGAAAAAATAATCGTGTATATCCATTGTTAAGGATAATTTAATGTCGAATGACTATTAACAAAGTCGGGAAGCATTTTTTAAGCAAAGGACCTTGCCACAAGTATAATTTCAAAAGCATAAAGGAAATGTGATATATTAAGTATAAAGAAAAAAAAAAGCATAGAGTGAAGAAAAGAAAAAAAAATAAAATAAAATAAGAACGTTATAACAAAGGCATAATAAATAATTATAAGTAAAATAAAGAGCAAAAAAAAAGAATGAACTGGTACTGACAACGCAACAAAAGGCAAAAAAAAAGAATACAAAAGAAGTGAGGGCTGATTTATTGAATCGATATTTTATTTATTTAATTTTTTTCCTAGTGTTCCGGAATATTCTTCTTGTACTAAGGTGTAGAATGTCCCAGAGGACCAAACCCAGCAGGCTTCCCTGGCCCCTGCGAGGGGCTTATACATTTAGGAAATAATCTTAATTAATCTCGGATACGCGCGTACCTTTTATAGTACCGGCAGTTTATAACTTGACATTTTAACCCACTCTAACTGCACACCTGCCAAATGTTTAAAATTATATTTTTTTTTTTAAGAATTTGGTCTACATTTCTAATGTTTATCATTTGTGAGGTTATTGTTTACTTATGTGTAAGCATTTTGCTTATGAGTATGTTTGTATTTGTCTATAGTATAGTGGTGATAATCCGAGGGGACAGTTTTACCATGCAGCCTAAAAATAGCTTAAAATCGTGTCAGAACTAAACCAGAACCCAAAGCTTGATATACTAACAATCGCTATTGATACGCCAAATGCCTAAAACAAGAGTTAGAACTAATTAATAACCTTAAAAAAAAATAAATGTAGACTGACTAATAATTTATGTCAACAACCTCCATATAGGGGTACTTTTTAGGATTCATAAGGACTAGCAAAAAATTTTTAACCGTGAAAACAGAAATATCTTTATTACTGCATATACTGTCTCGACTAGATTGAAATCGGAGTTTGTATTTCCGTTCTTGATAGTAGCATTGGAATTCTGCATTAATCCAGAGAATTCTCCTCAAGAAGAGAAACAAATTTTATTAAAACAATATTTTGTAAAACACTATTACTGGTTCTAAGAAATAATAATTATTTAAATAATTAAGCACTGCAAAAATATATTTAAGGCGCTACCAAATGCTCATTTAGCCTTTCTGCGCTCTAAAACAGTGAGGCAAGCTTATGTGACCTGTTAAATTAAGTCAGTTATGTTAGCTGGGTGCTAGTCAACATTAATAAAAGTTACTATTTTTCTTTTCTTAAGCCTAACAAACAGAATCCTACTATTCGTGTATTTCCTGCGAACAGATTTCTCGTGGCACTGAAGCATCGTACGCACCCGAAAAAGATGGGTGCTATAGTATGAATTTAAAGGCACAGCTTTTAGGTTATATTTGCCGCACTGCTTGATGATCTTCCTGACCCGAAGTGCCTTGATCCGTAATGGCGAAGTACCATCATAGAGCTAACCTACGGCGGATGTAGTGACCGGTCACACTGCGAGGTTAGTAACATTCTATGATGACCTGCTTACATGCGCTTGAGCTGAAAAATATCAAGTAAATTTTCGTACTCTTTAATTTAACCTTATCTTTATGGGAATGCTTAAACACAGGAAGTTAATACCAGTTACCTGAGTTGGCGTGGACACAAAAGGTTTTAGAAATGCATTAACGTACGGTTAGGGAGGACGGCTCTTAAAATGATAAAACACTGGCATTGGTACAATCTGGAGGTGTTATCTTTCCTCCGAGCGATATAGGTGGTATTATCCTGTTGATTTCAAGCTGATATGATCATACAAGACATTCGCTTATGTTAGAATATCTAGTGAGCCGTTTTAATATAATAGCGTTATTGCCCGCCCTTAGATTTAAGGCAAGCTGATATAGAAATATACGTTGTATTAGGTTTACTTTATGTTTAGTACTGCATCATTAGTGAATAGATGCGCTCGAAAGCAAGGTGTGTACTAGATTTAATCTGCTATTTGAAAGGCTACCATAAGAACTGATAATAACACTATTTGCCTCGATTCTAGGGGCCTTCTAACTGTCTAGACACTGGTTGAGCAATGACAGTAATGCTATCTTACTATCACACTGCAACATTAGTGAGTAGAAAAACTAGCTGAATGCCGATTGGGTATAATCAATAATGCTCTCTTTTTATTAATGATAGCTTTGGTGTAGTATTGGGCGAGTATACTATCTAAATAGGTTAGTACCTTATATATACTATATACAATGCGCACCTTGCAGCTTCTATGTGAAAAAAGTCTGTGCATTGGAAGGTGACTGATATAATAAACAATAGAAATTATGCTCATGTTTATGTCATGTACATCGCGGAAAATGTTAAATGAATTACGAATGCTGGGCGTCAAGCTTACAACGGCTCAGTGAGCGTTGATATATGAGACATCGGCAGGTCTGTGTTTCCCTGCCTAAGTGAGATTAATGCTTGTTACCCAGGTCTCAGTCGTTGCCTTTGTTGGGTCCTGTTTACCCCATTTTATCTGTTTTAAAAATCGTTATATATTTTCCTAAGCTCTGATTACTCTCTGTCATCCTTCCTATCCCGCATCATTGGGCTAGCTAAAATCCCTTTGCATATGCACTAAACAAGGACTGATGAACTAGCATAAACTTAGATATTTCGGACACACGCGTCCTAAATTTTAATTATAACTATACCTAATTTTTCGCTGTCATATAGATATTGATTGTTCCTCTGAGCGGCCTTATTTATAATTATTTCCACCTGAAGTTACTTTTATTATCTGCATTAAGAAGTTTAAAGGTTCACCGTAAACTAAAAAACCCTTTACGCACTCGCTTTTTTATTATTAAAATAATGTCAATTACTTGCAAGATTATCTCTAGATAAAATTTGTATCCCAGGTGCGGTTTATATTGTAATTATAGAGAGGGCGCCCAAGGCTTAGTTATTAATCAAAAATAATTTCTCTCACTAAACAAATCATGACACATGTGAAGTGGAGTAAGCATATCAATTCCGAGGTTTGTGATGCTGTTTTTCCTTTGTCGTGCTGTGTAATTACGATATCGCCTTTGGGAAAGTAATCTTTTGTTTCATGTTTGTAACTCAATCCTCTGCATCGTCTCCTAGACCGAGAATCGGAACGTTAACCCTTGGGAGAAGTTTACAGTCCCTGAATACACCATGTTTTCTTGTTTACACTTCTCACGGGGCACCTCCTTATACAACCTTAGATAACTTACGTACTATAAATCCAAAACTTACCGCTGTTCAGCTTTGCTTGGCTACTTTGTAACTTATTTTGTTTACTTACATAGAATTTTACTTATACAATATTATAACAATTTTTATAACTTCTAAAGATTCGATATCTTGATTACTTCTGCTTCCAACTACCCTATATCCTCATTTCGCAAGTTCTTTGGACTAGAGGCGCCGTATAATATTAATTCTTGTTAGCCGATTTTTTAAATTTAAAATTAGGGGTTTTTACTTTTTTTTACACTGAGCGACCCAATGCTAGTACTTCCAGAGCATTTTAATACAAAAAAACATATTAAAATTAATAGCGTCAACGGCCGAACTAAGGTTTTTGCTGAAACTTTAATCTTTGCATTTAACTTTTCGCTTTTATTTTACGTTAAGGGAGGAAGGGGGGTTCAATAACCTACACTTTAGAAATAACTTTAGCTCTAATTAAAGGGCAGAACTTATTTTTATTATAGATAAGTTCTCGTGTTTATATGAAACTAGTGGAAGAACTAAATCCGGATGTCTTCTGCCCGCTTATTGATAATATCCCTTTACATTGCCCTAAATATAAAGATAAGGAGGCCGGTTCGGCATTTTATTAAAGAGTATATTGCTTTTATTAATAAAAATATTAGTTAATAGGACTTTAATGCTTCTTGATGATTGTATCCTTGCTATGAAAGACCACCCTGATCTCGTAAGCTTTTTTTTTGGCCACGCTCTTTGTTTGTTTTGAATAATCTGAAATCTGTTTGTAGCAAAGCAGTGCCTTATTTGGAGTTATTCAAGGAAACAGTTCTATCGAAGGGAGGCGAAGATCTGCTTATGAAACTTCAAAAAGAGATGTTGACGGTTTCTTTAAACAGTCTACACCGTCTATATTCTTGTGAACCCCTTTTTTTATAGGATTTTTACTTGAAAATTTTGGTTCGCATCTTAAACGTGATGTTTTTAGAACCCTTCTCTCTACCGTCGTGGTGATTTATGTATCCAATCTCTCTAAAGCTTTAGTCTACTATCAGAAGTTTTTCAATTTTGCTTTTTATAGTAGCTAAAAGTAAATAACTTTGTGATAATTAAGGTTCGTTCATAGCGATATATTCTGTTCCTTATAATTATTTTAAATTTAGTCGACTATTTAACTATAAACTTTATATCCGACTCTTTGAATTTTTACTTTGTGCTTTCAAATGTTTATCGGGTTTATAAAGACTTAGACTGCGTTTCGACTCTTAAGTGAAAGTTTCATCATTATCTGAGTAGTTACCTGTCTAAAAAGTTATCAGTTTATTTACTCCTGTGTGATAGGCTTACTTTATGGTACTTTTAAGTTACTACACTTGGTTTACGCAAGGAACTTAACAATTATCAATACTCTTTCTTACAGAAAAGGTGTACTACTATATTCAAAGTGTGACATGTAAAGTTTAAACTATTTTTATTTTTCTATTTTAATTTTATTATTTAAAAAATAAACTTTTCCATCTATTTAGCATGAACTTTCTGCGGAGAAGCCCCGCATGATCAGTACGTTTGGGATTCCGGGTGATTTACCTGGAGTTATATTAACTTTGCGTTCTCGTTATTTTTTTTTATCTTTATTTTGACGACAGAACTTGTTTTGGACGCTGTTGAGTTTGGAATTGATATATTTGACGGCACGTATGTACCGTGCCGTCTTGTTATATTATTTTTGCAACTTTTGTTGAATCTAAGGTACCCCCTTCTGATGGCTGAGGACGGTAACGCCCTAACTTTTTACATACCGGGTCACTCGGTTTGCCGAATGGTCAATACTATAGCGCTAATATTGCTTAACTTATGTGATAATTAATAGACAATCTCTAAGGCAAAGCACATAAGCCTGTGGGATGACATCTTCCTTGACGATGTAAACCCTCTTTGCCCTGGTTGTTCCTGTATGGCCTGCACTGATTATTCGTAATACGTGCTTAGTTTGCAAGGCTACTAGCGTTTAGGGTTTTCTATAATGTAGAAGGTCCTATGTGCATCACCTGCTTTCCACTCATGAAATGCTGGCTAAAGTCCTTCTTACCCTGTGAGTTCTTTTTTTAATTTCCTATACAAAGATTAGAGATTTTGTTTATTTGTCTGTGTAGTCCAACTCAGCCTGTTTGTATATTTCGCCATCTTTATGATAAATAGCACTTTTGCCCTGCAAAATTATTACTAATAAAAGGCTTGACGAGAAAGAAGCGGGTTATATAGTCGTATTGGCGTATCCAAGAGAAAATCTGTATAGGGGTATATTCTGGGAGGGGTTAAGTACGCAACCCTTTAATATCGAAAAAAAAGAGTCGCGCAGTGGGAATGGAACCCGCGACTTTGATTGCTCTTCAATGCTCTTAACTGCTGAGCTACGACGACAACTTTCGATCTCGGTATGATGGATTTACGTATTCGACCTGTTAGATTGTTTGAGAAACGCTGCTAGCGCTTGCTTCGTTGTTGGACGCTTTTCTTAAGCTTAGCTTCTCTTTTACTCCCCTTCCTATGGAGGCCAACTTTATTAATTCCATTTAAGTCGGGTGTGTTAAAACTCTCCCCTTATGCATTGCACATAATTAACCGTCTGATTTTATAAGATCTCGCAAACAGTTGTTAAATCCGCTTTTTTTTTGATGAGTATTAATTACTTGCTAATCTCATGATGGCTTTCAGTGAACGTGCAGTGTCTTGTTTTCAGGTTTTATAGGGGTTGGGGGGGGGGGAGAGACTAGATTGCACAGAAATTTGGTTTTCTAGTTGTACGTTTCCTGAACTCTCGTGCATTACTAAGACAATTAATTCTTCAATTGATTTACGAAATCGAAAATTAAGTAAACAGATTAAATATTTGTCCACCACTCATGCGTTTGTCCACCACTTATGTTAAATTTAGATTTAAAACTTTTTACAATTGGTGTCACTTGCCAATCGTGGTTAAGACCTGCCTTGCATTCTACTTTATATTAATACTGAACTTAGGATAAGTGTACTAAAAAACTTATAGTTGTTCACATAAAATATTTGTATAACTAAGGCTAAATTTTCGATCCGGATATACCTTAATCTTTATTAACAACAAATTACAAAAAACCAAAAGTTATTATAGAGATGGAAGTGTCTGATATAGCGTTTTTAATTTTGAAGCCATCAGTAACTTCATAAATATTCTGGTGGATAGTGTTGAAAACAGGAGCACATGCTTATCTATATGTTTTTAACCTGTTTTTAATAGAAACTCGTTAAAAAAGTAAAATTTACTTTAGACCGGGTACTTCTTTTTTTTACTCGAAAAGGATAAAACTGGTGGCATAGTAATATTTTGAAAAGCTTCTTCTGAGTATAAATATTAAAAGTTATTAGTAGTTTAGTTATTCTTGCATAACTTAGTCAACTCTTTTCAGCAAACTACACTTGCAGCATTTTAAACTTATCTCATTCAAGAATATGTTTAAGTTACACGGTTTACTAACGAGTCTAACTTAAAACTTGCCAGGCGGTTGCTCTAAGTGTGATAGCTTAATATAACAGTTTTGCTTATATGTATTTGATTAATTGTATAAAGACAAACCGAGCTCTTTCGAAAACTTATTAGCAATATTTAAGCTAAGCTCTTTGTTTAAAATAAAGGTATATATTCTAATATACAGGTTAACTTTAAGACACTTTTTTTGCTATAGCTGTAACCACAATTTTTTTAATAAGTTATTTATATTTACAGGCACAATCTGCAACTTTATGAAAACTTTTTTTGCGCGATTCGATCCTCGATAAAAGCAGAACGTTTTTCTACTTTTAAGGAGACTTTTGAAAAGTTTTATTTATAATTTTTAAAGTGTTAATTAATTATAAGGCTTTGCCATAAATGAGGCTATACGTTAAGATAATTAAACTGGGGAGGCCTACCATTCGATTGTTTTATTAATGTTATTGAGTTATTCATTAGTCGGCTTTTTCGGGATACACTTGAGAGGAGCTGTAAAGCTTACTGCAGTTTATATTATGGTCGAAAACTACCTTTTTTCGTCAAAAAATCGTTTACTTAGTTTCAATTGCTCCATTAACAAAAAATAACTTTTTGCATTTGTAACTATTAATAAGTGTTTTCCCTATTGCTTTGAATTTTTTGTTCTAGCAGCGCGTAAGAATACTCATTTCCTAGTATATTCTCCCCGTTTGCGTTTGATGGAGGCCCTTTATTGCGATATACACTCTGTGTTTGATTTTTATTTGAAAAAACATATATTATTGTTGAGAGAATGATAAGAATCCCACCAAAGACAAAGCTTACTTTAAGGCGTGTGTCGAACATAATAATAGACAAAATAGTAACTGGAATAAAAGATAAGCTATACGCCACATTTTTCATTATGTTATCCAATTTTACGACAACAATAAGAGATAAGATTCCTCCTACAGCTGTTACACAAACTACACCCCAGGCGACATAAGTAAATCCATAAAAAATACCAACCTGACTTGCTGCAGTTCCGTCTTTTACTAGCAACGCAATTAGGCCAAAAGGTATAGACCACAACGCTAACTCCAGCTCAGAAATCCACATATTTTTAGAAACAACTTTTTGCCAGTTATTTTCTAAATTACTACAACCGTTGTCGTCAGAAGTTACCATTAAATCTTCTTTTAAAACGAGGTCGTCTCCGTTGCCTGGGTCCTCTGTCTTAAAAAAATATTCATAATAAACTCCTGCAATGGATGATGTTACACAAGAACCCAGGACGGCTGCTACACCAACTTTTAAATTATCCCTTTCACCAGCTGTTTTCTTTGGGGGCCCACTCCAAGTTATCATAGCAACTCCTAAAATGAGTAAACATTGCGAAAACCACTGGATGGGCGTTATTGTTTTATGAAGGACCAAAACGCTTAGAATGGAAGTAAGTACTAGTTTTAACTGAAACAAAGTTTGAAATTGAGCGCCGTCCATGTTCTCTAAGGCGATAAACGTTAAGTTATCTTGAACAACGTATAAAAATGCAGGTACAGAAAGCTTTATGAAGTTATTAGGCACTTTGGCTATCTCAGAGATAACTTTTTTGCAAACGGACAATTTACCTTTTTCAAATATAATCCATATTATAATGAATGACAAGAAAAGCTTAATAATATCATCTAAAAGAGTTGCCACTGTAGTTAAATAAAGAGTCTCATTATTCATACGAGAATAACGTGTAAGTATAACTTGCACTACAGTTTGGACTAGAAGCGGGAGACATAGAAATACATCTTTAAGCCCCATACTTCGAATTTTAGGTAAACTGCTGATTCCATTATTAAAAAAAAGCGTTTATTAAATTGGAAACATTGAATTACCAATGACTACGAAAGTTTAAAATACCTAATTTGTAAGAACAAGATTTGCATACCATTAATAGTAAAAAGTACTTTTAACAAAACTTAGCGAGTCATACCGGTTAAAGATTGAATCGCTAATTTGCACGCTATATTGTCTTAAAGAAATGTGTACCTACCTAAAGCTTCGTAATAGGGTTGGATACAGTTTTAAAGTAATTAGGTCTTAGTTATATTATGATGTACGTATATGATTAAATATTTCCTAGTAACTACCAGTTAACGGAGCCCTACTCACTATTACATGGAAGCTAGTCAACAAAAAAGGTTTGCAACTGGTAAAATAAAGTCTTAATAGAACAAGTTAACTCGCCTCACTTAAAGTGGTATTAGCTGGTTCCACTAAAGTATAACGTATTTACTATAATCCCTAGGTCTTTTAGACGACTTTGAGGATGGTTGGTGCTGAGATAGTGCCATTGTCATTATTGTACAAACATGAAGCCGAGTTTCCTCATCATTTTACTTAAACAAGCTTTCAACCTTGGAGCTAGATTTAGACAATTAAAATGAGTCTCATACTCTTTCAGGGTAAAACAACTTCCCTAGCAGGTAGAAACTAGTTACTATCTGTTCAACTATGAAAGTAATCTTAATTATCTTTTATCTTTTTAAACATTAAGTGAATTAACGTCGTATTCTCCCTATATATTTGTCTTACTGGGATAAGCAACGAGCAAGCTGCCAAACTAGCGGCTAACTAACTCTTCTATAGGCAATCCAACGAGTAAGAGACGATAAATATATTATTGAGAGGGTTATCAGACGAAGAATGGTTTATGGTTAATGGGTTCGACAGAATAATAAAGTTCTATATTCAAGCTGACTCTGCAAACCTTAATCGAGGGTAAATCTAAAAACAAGACAGAGCAAGGTTAAAGTCTCCCATAGAAAATAAAAAAACAGATCCTGAAGGGAGTGACACATGACCTAACTTAAAGGTAGTTGTTGGTAGTACCTTAGCTTGATAGTACCATTTTCGGTTAACCGAAAGAATCAGGGCTATAATATATATTCAACAAGTTACAGACAACTATGCCACTAGGTCTCTGTTTGAAGTCATCCTGACCATCAAACCCTAACTAATTAGGCACGCTTCTAAAACTTGAGGTTAAGGTTAGATACGAAAGTCGCTTTGGTGAAAATTGAACCCACGACCTTAACTAAGTTCGATGTTTTTACCACTGAGCTAAGGCAACTAAGACAACAACTGTCTATTCCGTTATGATGATTTTAAGTATTTTACCAGGTATCCTGATATTAAATAAAATCTCTTTAAAATAATCGAAATACTCTGAATATCTTGATAGAAGTGACAACTTAGTAACCCACCAAATAATCCTGGTTTTTTAAGTCATGACACAAGCCCTACAATTGTGTTGGGCATTTGAACGAATGGTCGATTGACTATTTTGACTGCCATCGATCTCTGTCATTGTTTTCGTTACTAGAAAAAATTTTTCTACGATAAAGAGTTTCTTCCTCGTGTTAACATTGGTAATTTGGTACTTTCCTGCTCTCAGAAGGCGGTAAGGAGGCAAAGAATGTAAGTATCAATTCTTATAAAATTTATTAGTAGTAAGGCGCCTTATTTTTAGCACAAATAAGTTCATATTCATAGGTTCCCTCAGTAGAATTACACTACGATTTATATTGTTAGAGCTCTTAACTTTTTGAAATATATCCTTAAATCTGGGTTGTACTTATCCTTATCTGTGGTTACTTTTTTACGAGCAAATGAGAACAAAGGATGGTTATCAGGTATCCCAGTAAGTCTACTACTACAATCCTAGAGTCTATAACTTCGTTAGCAATTGAACGGATTTAATTTTAGTTGGGGAAGGATATGCTATAACATTAGTACCGCTTCTTTCAAGCTGTGCTATCTAATTCTACTTTAGTGTAACATAATGAGAAATATCTAAGCAAATGGTAGGGAGGTTCAGTTAGTTTTGTAATTATTTAGGACGTAGCTTTGAGTCATATGTATTTAGAACTACTCCCTTAACATTATGATTTTTCAAGTGGGAGAAGAGTTAATCAACTAAAAAAGTCTACGTGGTTAATGGGACATTATACATCGATTTTCTTTGTGACTTTGAGAATGTAACTCTTAAGTTCAGCAGTAGTAATAGGGGCGCGCAACAAAGCTAACATACTAATAGCCTCCAGTCAATAATTTAATCACCCGTGATCTTTCTATTCCTTTTTAATGTTAGGAAGGACTAAGGCCTCTATATCGAATTTGTAAGTAAGACAACGGCTTAAGTTGAAGAACCTATACCGGTAATCGTCCAACATTGACCTCGGGTCGAACCATCGAACTAATTGAATTAGTCTTTCCCTTAGAGTGACATGGGTTGCTAATTTTAAGAGCTCCATTTTACTATAGCAGGGTACTATGAAAGTCATCATTTGAAGATGCCTGAGTCGAGTTGCCCCAAGCATTTTAGCATTCGTGGTATTTTTATAATCTTCAGAGTAAAGGGCAGTATTATTAACAATCTTTGTGCCTTACAATGAAATTATATCTTTGGACACAAGCGATGACACTCCAGCTCAAAGACCTGAGAAAATTATAATACCTTGAGGATTTTTAATATTTCAAACTGTAACATAAGATCGTGCAAAAATACTAAAAAAATTATTTCTGGGTAACAGCACTAAATAAGTGGATAATGCAAATGGAATGACTAGCACTAGACTGGAAATGCATAGTGTATACTATAAACAACACTATGTATATGCCCCTCTAAAGAACTATTTTATACCGTATACTATACTAGAAGTAAGCACTCTTGTAAGTCCCCAAAACGGCGACTTTATAATGGAAGCCAAAATTAAGGTGTCCCTTTACCTAGAGACCTAGAGCACTAATAATAAAGCGCAGTTCTTCGAACGCTCCTATATCAACATACAACATACATAGGTTCCACCAATTTCAATTAGTGTATCAACCCCTAGCATCAAGGTCAATAGTGTTGCTTAAATTATTTATGTATGGGAGCTTCTTCACTGTGTGTGAGATGGTATGCAGATACAGTACATCCATAGTTTTAGTCCGGAGCTAATCGCCTCTGTTAAGATGTAGACTTTCCATATCTTCTTAGCTCAGGTAATGATACCTTTCTTCAATAATATAAATAAGGTAAGATATGTAAAATGAAGGCCCAGCCCAAGTTCCGCCTGATCAATGTAGAAAAATGAAAGAACATGACTAGATGCAGTTCAGCATATATGTCTAAAGTAGTATCAACAGACGAATGGACAGCGGTGTAGTTCCCGACTAGAGCACTATAACTGGAACCTTAAGTGAATAAAGCTCATTTTAAACTCGAATCATAATAACGCCTACCTTTCATAGGAAAAATAGCACCTAATGAAGGTTTCTTTCCCTGGGGAAGGTTTACCAAGTAAGAGCAAAACTTAGGACTAGAACGTCAAGGAACTGTATAGCTCTTCGTGGTTTACGATAAATTTTTAGAGATATCCCTCAAAAGCAAGGTAACCGGGTTCACACCTTACTTTGATCGATCATTCCCCAATAGCTTACTATATCTTTTCAGCTAGAGTCAAGGAAGTTCGAGCCTATAATGTTACTAAATATCAGAGCTTTTATCAGTCTCTGCATTTCGCGTGCAATTTTCCCTCGGACGGGCATACAACGAGGCGGATCGTGTCAAGGTAACCGGTAGCTCAAGGTTAACTTCATGCTGTCCGTTGGAACTAATGTCCCCTAGAGATACTGAATATTAACTATTGGTTAGACTTTTTTTTTTGGACTCTTTACGATGGCGACAAACAGCATTCATTGCTTCACTAAAGAGTGTACTTGCCTCTAACGGAGCTAGCAAGATATAAAACTATCAGCTACTATATACACTCTAATAAGCACCCACACAGAAAAAGCTAAGAAGCTTATCTTTAAAATAATGACACTCGAATAGCCAAGGTCGCTGTGTTCTCAGTCATTGCCAAGGAAGTTTACGCAAGGTAAGTGTTTAAGATGTTAACAAGGTAGAAGAATACAAAGGGAAAAAGTTAAAAACGCTGGCATATGCGTGAGTATCGAGTAACCGAAGAGACTTATCTCTTATACATGCTTTTTGGAGGACTTAAGTCATTCAAAATACCCTCAAAAAAGCATAAAGAGTGCTATTACTTAGTATTACAAGGAATCACGAAGGTGTTGGTTAGGGGTGACTAGCACATGGAAAAAATAATCACTACTTACCCTTACAGTCAAAGGAAAAGAGAAATGCACAGTACATAAAATAATAACTACCTCCTTTCTTACTCACATAGACTGACCCAATCACTTAGGTTATTGGTTTATACCCTTTGCTAGCTGAACAAACCTAAGAACAGTCTAAGATGGATTCCATGGTAAGAGTGGCTAAATGCTGGTTAAGACAGAACAAAAACTGGTGAGTTAGCAATCTAAGACGAAAGATTAAGGTATCACGCTCTCTAGAAGATATTCTAGCTATAAAATCAGAGAAATAAGTTGTCTAAGAGAGAGTACTAATAGCGACGTTTTACTAACAAAGAAAGCCGGAACCAGGCGTTATTAGCTCCAAAGCAAAACTAAAATAAAAAGTTGCGGTTTTTATGCTAATATTATTCGAGTTCCATGAACAAAGCACTTTCTCACTGTAAATTTATATAACGCACGGTTCTAAGTTAGGCAAGACAGATTTTATTTCTTACAGGTTAGTCCCCATCACCTAATAGAGATGACTGTCGACTAAAGGATTGTTAAAAAAAGGTAATGCCGTTGTTGTTGACTTGATAGCTTTACCACAGGGCAGTCATTTGAGTTGATTAATCACGGGTTAATGTGGCTACTTCCTTCTTTCTCCGGTTAACTTGGATCTAGATGTCAGTTTTATACCTTAACATATCTAACCCTAGTTTTGCTTACGGTGCTTTGTTAATGACATAGAGGGACTGTAGGAAATGTATAAGATTTAAGAGGACATTTTAATAGATAATCTAAGAAGGCTCTTTTGTTTAACTCCGTTGTCTGTATAACACCTCGAAATTAAAGTGCACTAAAAGTTTGGTTTGACTTAGTAAATAGTACACACCACTCATGAATATTAGAGTTTCAATTAAAGAGATAAAAGAACCCCGACTGCTAAAGTACTTAGAAGCTTCAAAAGCATTTCGGTGGGATCCTACTCCTCTTTGGAAACCGTTATAATCTAGATCACGTTATAGTAGGAAGGTAACGTAATATTCACTTCAATAAAAATGAGGAGAAACACGCAGATTTCCATGCATGCGTTATAGTTATTTTCAAATATATTAGAGAACTTTGCGTAAAAGGAAGAGTAACAGCCAAACACAGCCCTCACTGAAAGCGAAAAATAAAAGTTAACTACTACAAAATAACTATGATGTTCGTAAATATATTT